GGTGATGATGGGGAAATTGCACTTTTTGAAAACACTGACGCATGATTTTTTATGTGCTGAAGCTTTCAAAAACATGGCCAATGCACTTCCATTTGCCAGTAATAGTAACTTTCTGCCACCTATGACTCTCTGATGCATTTATTTAATTCATAATAGCCCAGTAGTCTGGCAATAGAGAAAGTAAGACACACAAGTGGCAACATGTGTTGTCTGATCAGATACTAGATAAATGATCGCAGAAAAAGTCGACTGCAACAGAATTGAGATTTTCCAGCTAAGGCCAAGCAAAATGCATTAGCAGGGAAGTTTGACAAACAAATCAACCAAACAGCTTACCAGATGCTGGTGGTAAAGTATCATGCCATTTTTTGTCAACCAACATTTAAATAAATTTCAATAAAGGAAAATATTTTTTTGGTTGTTTTTTTAGCATTATAGTGTGGACAGCAAACATTTAGAAAATGCCCATGCTTATTACTCAGAGCTGCTCTGCAGCTGGAAGCTCTGAGTAATAAGCATGGGCAGAAATCTTTTGAGAAGTAAATTGCATTTTTCAATTTTATCCATGTTCCACTGTCTTAGTTGTGCTGAAAACCAGAGATGATCAAAACAAAATCTGAATGTGGGGTGATTCATGTCTGACTGGAAAGTATGCGTGAAATGATACTGTATATATTACCTTGGTTAGCCTTCATGAGCTGTTGTAGGACAACTAAATCACATGCTTTGTGGTTAAACATATAGCCATTCCAGCATATCAGTTGAGAAAGTGTGTCTTTTGTGTGACAAGATGTGAAAAGTTAACTTGGTGGTGTGTATGTTTGGCTGTATGTACAGTAGAGTGTATGACTGCTTGATTGGTACATGAGGCTACCTTCCACCAGTAAAATCAGGGTTTGGTCTGATGTTGTGTATTAAAAATGTTGTTGACCCAAACTGTATTAGCCAACAACAAGGAGGAAACTAAATTTTTGCTCTAAGAGAATGAGTTTATATTTGATAGCAAACATTGGCCTTAAAGGTCCAGATAAGTGGACAGGTGTAGTCCGACTGAGGTAGAGAAAGAAAAATTATTCTCTGTGGTGAGAAAAGCTAGAGGCAGAGATACAACACAGTCACATCCTCTTCTTTTACTTTTTGTTGCTTTGCAGCTGGAAGCTCTGAGTAATAAATGATGTAGCACTTGGGTAAGGGAAGATAAAGGGGCAGCCTAAAAGTTGGGGCGGGGATACATATAGAAAAAAAGACACTAGAAAAGTAATATATCATAGCATAGTGATACAAATGCATTTAGGAGAGATTAATAAATTGCGGGCATAAAAGTAGGACACAACCGTGTGTTTAAGTTAACTTCTCCATGTTTGCTGTGATCCACCATGATCTACCAGCTGACTTAAAATGATTCAATTTGCTGTGTTTAATTAAAGTAAATTAAACAGTAGACTAATAGAAATAACTGACATTTCAGTTTTCATCAACAAACTAAGACATTTTGTTGATTTTATGCAGCATAGCCGACAGTAATCTGACCACTCTTCTTATAATATATTTAATTTACCATTCTGGCAACACTGTGATTATATTTTGATTATCAACCCATTATACAATAGCAGTCTCTATTTTTAGTTTGTTCACATTAAGGTATTCAAGCTGAACTGGCTGCCCTTCCATGCTAAGCGCACATAAATGACAGCTGTCATAAGCATTAGTAAAGATTAAACCCGATTTACGCGAATGTATACATTTTATGTAATCTTTGCGATCTTGTGTTTTAAAAGTAACAAACAACACCTCCATCTCGGTTAGCACATCTCTCATAGGGAAGTGGTTTCTTTTTACCAGAAACTGCGTGACAGTTTTCATGGAATCACTGAAAATTCGACCTGGTATGAGTTTGTAGGTAGCATGGGATTATACTCTTAAGGGCTTTAATGGGTATTCTGTAACGGTATTATATTTAAAAAGAGCCTCTGCCTTACAAGGTTCTGGCCACTATTATGGAATCCTATTGTCACTACACCTTTGTAAAACTACTTTTATTTCCCTTTCACATCTTGTAACCATTCAGAATTCACTCATATTTACTTTAAACCTAATCTGCATTATTCTTTGATGTGTTAACATTGAGTATATATTATTTTACTCTCTTTCTCCACACACACACACACACACACACACACACACACACACACGAAAAAAGGCAAAAGCATTTAGGTTTGCGCTTCAGAACAGTAAACAGTCACAGATTAAGCTGGGTGCATTAATGGATTATAGGACAATGTTTTTTCCCTATTTGACTCACACAGCTCCACAGTCACTCAGATGGCGTATTGGGATTATTGTACAACACTGCAACCACTTTTCTCTAAACAGAATGTGATAGGGAGACAGCAATGGCTGCATCACCATGTGAGCACAGTGGAGCTAAAGATAAAGTTTGTTACTTATGATCTACTCACTATTAGACACAGAGATTAATATAGATTCCTTCTTAACACATCTTCATACAACATTTAAAGAGCCATGAAATGTGCATATACATTTGCTCCATTCTACTGTTTAATGTTAACTCACTGAGATGTGTTCATAATTCACCCATCTCCCAATGCTGTCACTTTTGGACAGCAAAAATGCATTAAAAAAAGTTTTCATGCATTCATACATGAATAATCCAACAGTGTTGTACTGTTAACTACAGTTTACTATATATATTAGACATTAGAGATGATTGCATGACAAAAAGACCCCTGACTGATCTTAACATTGTGCTCCTTTGAAAGCGATGCAGTGGGTTCTACTTTATGGACTGAGTCAGATTTCGTGTGGGATTTGCAGAATTGCACAGGGGCTCCATGACATGAATCATTACAGGTCATTGGATTACGATGGGATGTTGTGTTCCTGGACCATCAAATCCAGGAACAACTGGGAATCAGTCTGTTTTGAAAAGGAGTGATATTGTGATGCTCTTCTACTGGCAAATGGTAGCGCCTTAGGCATACATTTGGAACTTTGTGCATGTTGATTGGTCCATGCTTTGAGTGTTAGGTGGTGGGTGCAGGACTATATTTAAAACAATTCAACTCAATCTCTTTGCAAAACAAAGGGATGGTGAATGACCTTTATGCGAACAGATCTTTTCACCTCCATCGGTCTGTACAAAGTGTACTAACCTGAAGGGATGCTGACTGTAAGACATTAGGTCATCTTTTCTATCTTCAGCCCTCATGTTCCTTTACAGAGAGAGAGAGAGTGACAGTCTGATCTTAGGTGAATAAGTGAAGAATGTAATTACAGGAAAAGAGAAGTCTTTCACCTTCTGTCATGATACTTTAGCACCTATGTGGCTTTGCATTTCCATTTTCCTTCAGAGTAAACTTCTGATCTCAAGTACGTTTTATGAAAATTCACTTGCAGTACATTGCAACACTAAATTACAATATAGGTTCATATAAATATAGATCAATTGAAAACGTGCATTTTACCACAAAGTGTGCATCAAACAATCTCATGGGAATCAGGAGTCTTTGAGACAAGGACCCAAACAAAAACTCTTTCAAAGAGACTGAAGTGTTGCCACACAACCTAATCTGAAAGGACAATGAGTGTTAACAACCTGTCATGTGAAGGCTTGCACACACAAAATTATCCACTGTCTCCTTTGACGAGATTTAAATCTGTGGTCCATGTGAAACTCTGCTCCCAGCAACTTTCAAGGTCAAAACACCTGTCACCCCAAATTCCCCACTCCCCGGATCAAGACACAAAAGGAAATATATGGCCCAAAGTCGCAACACCACATGAAAAAGAAAGCAAATATTTAATGTTTGTTCTGTCTCCCCTTTATAGCAGGTGGCATGTTTTGGCTGTCTAAACACACATTTACAACAAACAACTGTGGGAGGAGCAGAGAGGAGAGAGTGACATTCCAGCAAGTGTCCCTACTGAAAGCCATTAATCGGTAAAGTCACTGTCTTCACCATATCAAAATACTGTCTGAGTAACAGTATCATTGACCAAAGGATTGTTTTCATTTCTCTCAGTGGCTGAGACTTAAGGAGGCTTTGTCACTGGTGTCACAGACTTACAAACCTTATTTGAGAGTCCCATCCATCTAAAATGACGGGTCAGTAAACACTAGGATGAGTGAGTCAACCTGAAACTAACAAATCCTTTACAATTTTCTTTTTCAGCTTAGGTTCGGGTTATTTGAGTTGGCCAGATTTAGAAAAACAAAACAAACAAAAAAATCATGCACAGGTAGAAGATACATACTTATTGCCATTTTGTGATTAAAAACATCAAACTATGGCTTTTAATCTGGAAGAAGGAAGGACATATGATCCATCAAATCAAGTTAAGTAAAGAAGGGACAAGAACTGCTATGGCTTTGCCATTGTTCTCCCATTTCTTCCTTGATCTACTGCTTACTTTATTTTGAACAGACATTAATGGGAAACATGACTTTGACGGGACAGTTAGGCCAGAGTTTACAGAATACATCATACTTTGCCAAAGTTAAAATGGAGGACTTTCCCAAAGGTCCATGAGCAGCCAAATAGCCTAGTTATATTTTCTACATTGCATAAAACAAAGTTGTTGTTTTTTTTACTGTTTACATTTCGGGCCTATAGATATGATATTTGGCATGATCTCTACATTAAATCTTAATATCCGTAGGCTATTATATTCTATAGTATTACTTATAAAATAACATCACCTTTAAGTAAGAGCTTCCGGGGGGGGGGGGGACATAAAGGACTGGAATCGTGTTTCATGTCCCAGACTGCTTGGTTGTGGTCCTGTGTTGCGGATGTGTTTAAATTGTAACCGCTAGAGGGATACATAGGCTATATGCCTTTCAAACTCCGTAAACACCATACTATCACTATGTGCCATAGAGAGAATTACCGTCAGTGAGAGTTGCCTACCTGTGTGACTTCCCACTTTGAAAAAAACACAGCCCCGGAACATTTGAAACATGAGTTGTTCTTTAAAAGACTTAGACAGAAACTGCCTCTAAAGCGGACGGCGAGCTCCGACTCCTCCAAGTGTATCTGTTCCAGGCAATCAATGAGGACCGCGATGCTTACTTCTGCAGCTCTCTGTCCCTCTTTCTCTCATTCGCCTTACCAGCTATTATAGTGCATTTCAACTTTTGTACAGGCATACAAGCAAAGGGAAGTTTGGATTCCATTTTTGACCACAATTTACCTCTTGTTTTCTGTAATAAAAATGAGAGGTCGGTTTGTTGTCACTTTTCTTTGGAATTTAATATGTGCCATTTCTTATGCTGTTTTACGGGTAGGATAAGGAAACAACAAAAAGGTGTGACAAGAGCTAGCCGGACAACTGTGGATTTCTGCGAGTAACTCCTACCGTCCAAAGGGGATGAGGGGGGCATCGGCCGGACCCCCCTCTTGATTGATTACTTATTAGTCATCCCTTTGGCTAAATGGGACCCATTGAAAAGGCACCGTGGAACACATACATGAATCAAATATTCCTGTGTCCCCTGAATGTCTCCAGAGTAATTTTGCTTAAGAGAGGGGGTCGTGGCTTAGCATTATAAAGAGGGAAAAACAGCATAGCTTTATGGGTTTATTTAGACAGTTTCTACGGTTTGACATTCTACCGCTGTAAAAAGAGAGAAGGAAAACTCGAGAGGATTCCAAAGAGCAGAACATTGAGGACATACATTTTTTTCTAGTTAATTCCGTTGTTTCTTATATTTTTTTCCTCTCATTTTAAATATTTTTTTTGTCATTTTCTCTCCCGAAAAATGAAACTTTGGACATCTCCCTGGGTGTCTTGCCTGGTGATTCTCATCTTGTGTTTTGGATCAGAGTGCGGGACAGTCCGGAGAAAGGGGAGATCCAAGAGGGAGTTGGTGCGTATTAGGGAGGCGAAAGCCACCATCCCAGGGGCTTGTGCCACACGTCTGCCCCGGGGCAAACGGTCTTTGCCCGGCTTGGAGCGACGGGTGCTTCGCCAGCGTCGGCGCTCCTCTCACGCGGAGGAAAACTCTCCAGACCGGGGAAAAGCTGTCTATTTTACCGGCAGGGGAGATCAGCTACGACTGAAGCCTGGCGTGGAGATACCCAGAGGAAATTTCACTCTGGAGATGTGGATCAAACCGGAGGGAGGTCAACGATCACCCACAGTGATTGCAGGTAGGATAGTCTACACATCCTCCATCCAGTTGTCACCCCAACTCCTTTATTAGTGTAACTCCAAAGCGGGTTAAATTGCAAAAGGAGGACTAAACATGCAAATGTGCAGTATTTTACCCCAATGTCATGTCTATCAAACAAAGCAACATGCAGTTTCAGCGAGTTGAAAATGAGTTCATCTATCAGACTAGACAATGATGTAATGCTCGGTAAAGTACAGCGGATATTTTAGGTAGTGCAAGCAATTAAGATTGTGATGACATTTAACTTATCTTATATAGAGAAAATCGCTGCAATAAAATTTCATTTTATAAATGATTTTCCTTTAATTTTCCCACTTTAGAATGATGATTTATGTGGGTTACGATCGTAAAATCTAAACGGGGACTAGGGGCAGCAGATATAGGCTACTGCATCACTTGACCGGCAGCTGATGTCACTGTGCGTAAAATGTAATTTCTCTGAACCGACTTGGCTATTTTAAAACTATGATGTAATGGCCAAAACTTAGTGAGCGAGCACAGTCTCGTCAGGCACAAAGCGGGAGAGATGTGTTGTATATGTGGGCGCTCAAAGCACGCGCAACTCAAGCCGCAAGCTTGAGTGCCCCCCAAAATCGACACCTTTGGCCTGGCTACCGGAGTTACGGGACAGGGCTGGAGAGTTCCAGGGTTTCCCCTCCTGCCCGAAAATGTCCTGCTTGTGTTTGTGCTGTGGCGGTGTGCTTTCATGGTGACCGATGGTGGTATGCACAGTATCAATGGTTTTTAGGCGAGTTTCAAATTTAAGGCAAAATCAGATAGTGATGATGCTCTATCCACTGACTGCGCAGAGGAGGACACACAGACACATGAGTAGATCCCCGTCGTCAGAGGAAAGCTCGCCACTCTGTAACTGTCATCTGTGCGCACTCCTTTTTGTCCTGCCGGATCTGCAGCCATGCATAAAGGAGCATCAGAGGTGTTAAAATGTTCTGCATCATCTGTTTAGACCAATAGCGCTTTTGTGCATTACAGTATAGTTTAGACAGTTTTTTTGTTGCTTTTCTTTGCCGATAGGGAGCGTTGCATACACAACTCATTGCCTGCAACAGTACTTAAGCAGATGGCTGCCTTTGAACTGAACTGAACTGAATTAAACTCAGTCCTCATCTGCCTCATGTATGCCAGTTAACACGTTTGGGGAGTTTACTGAACAATATGAGTAAATTTACATGCTCCTTTATTTTCTGGCTGGCTGGCTCCACCCCCCCCCCCCCCCCAACACATCAGTTATGTGTGTAGATCTGTACGTTGAGATACAGTACACTTTTAGGTAGTGCTTGCCAGTTGGCAGGGACATGCTCTGCAAAACCAATTCCTTGTAAGATTCTCAAACTGGGGGAGTTGGGGGTGAGAGGGTCTGTTGTGACCTGAATGACTCTTAGATTTAGAGAGGATGGACACAATAACAAGAACATCTGTACAGTAAAATCCATTCCAGTACAACAAAAACACAAACAACAACCTCCACAGTGATCATAGAGTTGAATCTGTCATACACAATCTTGATAGAACATTAAAATGAACATTATATGCTTCACAGATGTGCTATGGATCACATTATTTTGTACAGGTGTTGTTGTTGTGCCCCGCCCCCCATCTTGTACTGGTTTCTGCCAAGCAGAGATTACTATTCATGTATAATCTTGTGTGTTCGTGTTTTTTTTAATTTTTATTTTTTTTAAAGATTTGCTCCCATTGCACTCACATCAGTGTGCCAGAGCAGGGACCTAAAGGGAGCAAATATGACGATCAAACAAATTCAATAAAGCCTAATCTTTTAAATCCAATTCAGGCCTCAAAAATCCCAGTGCCTCTAAAAATGCCCCATCCCCTTGTTTTGATCCCAGTACAGTGTTGTTTGCAGCAGCTGTTTTTTTTGTTGGTGTTGTTTTGACCACCAGCAATTTCTCTTTCTCTCTCTTTCTTTCTTTTTCATTTTGTCCTTGTTTTCTTTCTACTGGATTTCAATTGACCTTATGTTGACTTATGTTTTTGTTTTCTGTGAAATTGCTAGGGAATCATCTTACAGTGAGCACAGCCTCTGTTTGGAAAAACTAAAACTGGAATCTCCAGGGTGATCCAGTTCTTTTGCTTCCTTAACCAACTTGTTCCTGTGTTTGTTTTTTAATTTATTGCACTCTTTGGAATATTGAAAACTTGATTTAGTTGTAGTAGTAGTAGTTGCTGACCTCCTTCATGTGAGAGGATCAGTTCATTACTGTTAGTTGCACATTCATTTTTTTTCTGGTTTTTACAATATGATGAACCTAAGTTGTTTAAGTGGAGTTAACCAGCTTTCTCACAACAATTCCTTAGGAAGATAGGGCAACTTTTGGGTAAAAAAGGGAATGTTCTGTGTTCAGTTGATACTTTATACTCCGTAGATGTCAGGTGAAACCATCATCAAATACGGTTGTGGATTGTCTTGTGCCCTTTAAACTGAACCACAAGACTTCTAGATAAAAAAGTGCTTCCTCTGCGTGTGACAGTTAGATGTGCTCAGAATTGATCCCAGGTTTGAAAGCATTTGAAATGTTTAAATGAAAAGTTTATATATACACATACACACACGTGCACGCACTCACCCACCCATCCATCCACGGTCACACACAAAATCAGAACATCAAGGTTAGTGTCCAAATATTAAGCAAACCTTGTGCCCTATTTGCCCTTGTACCCGGGTCATGTAGGGTTGTCCAGCATCAAAGGAAGAGGAAAATCAATCATAAGAGGAATCGAGGCACTCCTCCATGACCTGCTGGGGACAATTATTTGCAGACGTTGGCAAATAATTGCTGCGATAACCAATATATTTTGGTGCTGTCATCTAGTGTGACGATATACACTAAGGTGTGTTCAGAAATGTGTTTTTCATGGATATTCATACCACATATTGCAAACTGTATCCTTCTCAAGTTTCATTCTAATCACGTGTAGCTGGGATACCAAGAAGAAGATGAATAATCTTGAGATTATGACTAATTACCTGTCAAGCGGTTGGAGTTTGAAGAGGGGTTGAGCACTGAGTGTAACACTTATCTTCAGCAATCATTACCTCAACTAGAACCATCTTCACAGTCTTTTTATTAGTTGGAATCATTACCATGGTCATGCACTGGGTGCCTTACTGTTCCTTAATGAGTGTTTGCAAATTCTGACCATTGTCCTCACATTTGTAGGGAAGGTTCACTGTGTGCAGTGCTGTGTTAGTTCATGTCATCTGACATCCAAAAACAGGTTTAAATACAACAATTGGTAGATCACTTACTTACTTTATTAAAACCAGCTTTTAGTTGAATTAATGCTTGAAACCTGACAGCCAAGTCAAATGTTTAAAGTCAAGTGTTTTTAAGAGCTGTGATGACATTTTTATAATCTATATCCTTGTTATGTTCGTTAAGTTTGTTTTTAAAATATTAATGGAATTTTCCATTGTCTCCTCTGGGAAATCGCTGTGGCGGTCACTTTAGTATGTCTATGAAAAGTGCCTTTCTTTGACCTTTCAGAGCCAGAAAAGCTCAAAAGTAAACGGAGTCTTCATTGTTCCCTTCCTCCCTGCTTTTTATCAAGTCCTTGTGACATTTTTCTTTGTGTGTGTATGTGTTTTTTTTTTTTTTTACTTTTTCTTTTTTCCTGTGTTTTTCTTGGAAGAAGACAAATGGCAAGTGCAAGGAAGGTTGCCTTTGAACCTAACAGGAACAGCTCTCTACTGTAGCGTGTGCACATGTAAATCCCTTCTCCTGTGTGTGTGTGTGTGTGTGTGTGTGTGTGTGTGTGTGTGTGTTTCGGAGAGGACACAAATGTGTACAGCGTTTCAATTTGTCTTTGCGTATGGGAGAGTGTATTTGTTCATGTGCATGTATATATGCATGTCTGTATAAGTATGTGCATATGTGTGTAGGTTTATTTGTGTGAGCCAGAGTAGTCACAGTGCAGGGTCTGGAAAAGTGTAGTGTGTTAGATTAATTGAGCATGGCAGAATTATGACAGCTGTTTACACTAGGAGGCCTACGAGCATTTTAGCACACCTTTTAGCCTTGAGTGCACTAGCTGACAGATGGAAGGCTTTTTCCTTCCAGTGTAGTGGAAAGCCTGAAAACGTCATCCACCAAAGGACTGACCTTGACGCTGAACCCAATCCTCACTCTTTGAACATTAGTCCATTGAAATACCAAGTTAATGAATGCATACTGGAGTGTGCATCTAATTAGAAACAGGTCAAAGTTAGCAAGATGTCCATGCAATCACCATTAGCCAGCCACTTATCGCAGGCTCAGGTGGCCTAATCGATGGGGAACAAAGGCATCTGAGTAGACAAGTACATTGAGGCAAAGATGTGATCATCTTTATGATAGTCAGCTTACAATTTCACATGATACTAGAGGTAACGGAGACAAATATGAAGGGTATATACAAGCATGTGATGTAGAGATCCCAGAAGCAGCTGTAAAGCCTGCTATATTTCTATTTCTATATGGGCAGGGTGTGCAGGTCACAGATTGAGTGTCTCTCGGTGGAGAGATATAATTGCCAGAAAGCTTACAGTTAGAAGTGCTACCCCGATGTTAGCAAATCCAGGAATGTATTCTTGTGACAAGAGTAGAGTCCTGCTCTCGCCACAGAATCACCTATGAATACACGGACTTCCACATGCTGGACCTTGTGAGGCATGTCAAGGTGCTTTGGAATCTTTGCACACTTTGACTGGACTGTATGGATATATGCACAAACATGCATTAACAAACACACATGCACACACACAAGCATGGACTTGTGTGCTTGCACACATGTACCTCAACAAGTGCTAAACAAACAAACAGTTAACATTCAGAGATCCCCTATTAAGTGAAAACACATTACCATGCTGAAGCTGACATATACGGTCCAAGTGAAACAGGAAAAAGGTGTATTGGTGCCTCTACAAAAACAAGGCTTTAGCAGAAAACTAGCCTTTTCTGGCTACCCCACTGGCAAGGGACATTTACACGAACAACTTTAAATGCGCTCAGTGTTCACGAAAAGCCTATACAAGGGTCTAAGGGTCTCCCTTAGCTAAACATGCACTTGAAACCCACTTTCCAGGACAACATGCATATAAAAATATAAAAACCTAACTTATTAATACATTAATATATACAAAATTAAAAAAATCTGAATATTCCACAATGACATAGTGTTCAAAATATATACATCAAAATCTAATTGGCATATTGAACAACAAATGCTGAAATAAAATTAGCATTATGGATCATATGCAAGTGACTTGTGAAGATTAAAAACATTTCAATGGTTGAAAAGAGCGGATGTTGACTGAGGAGTATCAGTGAAGTGTCAGCTCTCTGACAGGTGACTGATGATGACCAATGCTTTTGATTACAACTGTTCATTGTCTGCCATGTTCACATCCACACATCCACACTTGGAAATAAAGGCAGGCACATATTAACTGACTTTTTTCATTCTTTCTCCAGGCCTATACGACAAATGTTTCTACGCCTCCAGTGACCGAGGCTGGCTGCTTGGTATCCAGGCAGTTAGTGAACACGGGAATCGAGACCCTCGCTTCTTCTTCTCCCTTAAAACTGACCGTGCCCACAAAGTGACCTCCATCCACTCCAACACTCACTACATACCTAACCAATGGGCCCATGTGGCAGTCACATATGATGGTGTGTACATGACACTCTATGTCAATGGCGCCCAGGTGGGTGTCAGTCGGGAGCAATCAGGTGATGTGTTCAGCCATTTGACCAAAAAGTGCAAAGTGCTGATGATTGGGGGGAATGCACTTAATCATAATTACAGGGGGGCAGTGGAAAGGGTGGGTCTATGGAGGCAGGCCAGAGGGCAGAGGCAGATTATCAGGGATATGCAGGGCCACGAGGACCCCCAAGATCTACCTCAGCTGGTCATTCGTGAAACATTCGAGCACCCAGGACGGAAGTGGCTGACTGTGAAAGATGGTATCTTTCCTAACCCTGAGAAGGGAGGAGCTGGACGATTAGGGTTTCTAGATGGTGGAGGAGTTGGAAATCCTGAAGGACTATTGGACACAACGCTGGAACCTCCAACTTGTGGTCAAACTGTCTGTGACAACGTCGAGGTCATCAAAAACTACAACCAGCTTTGGAACTTCCGTCGGCCCAAGAAAGTACGATATCGTGTCATAAATATTTGGGACGATGCATGGATGCGGCCAACTGTATCAGACCACCAGATCAGCCTGCAGCACCAGCAGCTAAATGATGCCTTTATGCCCTACAACATCACCTGGGAGCTTAGCATTCATAATGTGACCAATTCCTCTCTTCGAAACCGGTTGATTCTAGCTAACTGTGATATCGGCAAAGTTGGCAATGATGCATGTGACCCAGAATGCAACCATCCGCTGACAGGGTTTGATGCAGGGGACTGTATGTCTGGGCATCGGAGTCGTTGCCCTGAGCAAAAACAGGGGAATGGGGTATGTGACCCTGAATGTAACTGGGAAAACTTCTCCTATGACCTTGGCGACTGCTGTAACCCCAATGTGACAGATGTGACCAAGACATGCTTCAACCGTTCTTCTCCACACAAGTAAGTCACTTTCATCACATTTAGCATGTTATCATGTTTTCTGCACTGGTAATTCTCTTTGGTAATTGTTCAGTAAACATGAAACTTAAATTAACCAAAAAGCCAAAAAGCTTTAACTAACCACAGCATTCCTTGCTTAATTTGATAAATTCTTCGGTTGACATGACTGAATAATTTTGGTAAACCAACTCCACTCCATGGTCTCACATGCCTAGAGTAAATCAAACAACATATCTTTCCATACATGTGTCCCTGAAGAGAGGTTTTGATGTCTAGTCCTACTGTTTCCTCACCATTTTGGCTGAGACTGAATGTAACATAAACCCCAGCGTGTGTGGCCTGGGAAATCCTCTGGGAGCAGCTAGTCCAGTCTAGCCTTGGCCTGGTTCAATCAGTGTTCCACACTTAAGCAGGGCAAAACAAATGCAACCGGATGACTTTCCTGGTAGCAAATACGCAGGCCAGACCATTCATTTTTGTTTCAGTATTTTCAGCAACTCTCTCCACCTTCTCGTTCTCAGTGTCTCCTATACCCAGTGGTTCTAATTAGGCTGGCTTGATTGGAGAAGGGAGTTAGTTTGGAAAGAGTGACATTGTAAACAGAGTGTAAGGGCAATTAGAGGTCAGAAAAGAGAGTCCAGTATGGCTTTTGCTTGTAGCAATGGAAATTATTTCAAAGACACACCACTCTCTCCAGGAAACCACTGAAAGACATGTTTTCTGGGGAGGCAGGTACGGGTCCCTAAACGTGGGCGCCTGAAAGAATTTTCCAGGAAAAACAGTGAAGAACGTTCACTTCACTTGCATGTGAATAGCAGTATTGCAGAATCTCCTAGGTGTACTGTACATAAACAAGAGCTTATGTGGTTTCTTGCAGCTACTTTAGGAGAATATGGAGGCCTTCATAAATGCATGCAAATTTTTGTTTTTGTGGTAATCTCTTTGTGGCTTGTAGATGATGAGTAAAAGCTGGCAAGGAGAATACATATCTGGAATTCGCTGTAATAAGGTTTGTGCCAGACCTCCAATAGCAGGATTGTTTGTTTCTTGGTACACTGAAACTCAACACAGTAGACTGAGACATATTTGTGGACAATGCAGGGGTTTTTTATGGTTACGACAGAGAAAGAAACAAAAGTGACTTTGTCAGTTTGTCAGTATTTCTTGCCACTGTCATGGGGGACAAGTGAAAGGGTGAAAAACCTAGACTTAGTATGCGGGATTGTTTGGGTCTTTCTGATAGGATGAATCAAGGAAACTAAGCTGTTTTCAATCACAGTTAAGCTGGAAGCATTGTCTGTTTGGCACTATCCTGTTGTTTAAAATGGCTGCTAAATAGCAAAATAATGACATCTAATTAACAACATCAGAGGGGAAAAGCAGGTGGGTTTGCCATGGCTTCCATCTCTCAGTTGCCACCACATCCCTTCCAGCTTAGTCATCATTAGAAGCTCATTCATCAAGTGGCAGGCAACTACTTCATTTAGACATCAGCCATTGGCAAAACGCTTGCAATGTTCAAACCTCCCTACGGGTGTTTGAGGGATGGGCTTGTGAAAGGAAGGTTACCAGCAAGAGAGAGAACGAGACAAAGACAAGAGACAGTCTCAGTCTAAAAAAATAGATATAATCTCACCAAGTGGTTGCTTATTTTGCTTTGATTATGGTATGTCTGGAGAGACTTGCAGAGAGCTGCACTACAAACAGTTTGACATTCCTCCTTAATTATGGAATTCTGGATGAACAATGTACTGCGTATGCAGGAGAACAATGGTTGTGAGGTCCTGCATTTATTTTTGCAGCGTTTGCGCCTGTTACCACTTACATGTAGTGTTTTCAGAAATCTGGCTAACACAGGACATAGGCAGCTCTGTGGTCCTGCAACAGTCTCTCCTCTGAAAATACCATTGATAATAATCCCCCTTTCCCTCCTTCCACATTTTGCTGAGGGAAATATTTTAGATTGTTTTCACAGTCCTTGGTTTTGACACTTCTTATGGTTTGGTGGTATTTGATGTTATCTGACAGCATTTATTTTAAGGCTGAACTTTCTTACGTCTGGTGCTAGGGACATCTGAAATTGCGGCTGTAATTTATAAATATGTGAATTTACATTATGTGAGCAGAAAAGAAATGGCACAGTTGTTTGAGGAGCTCATGTGTGTGTTTGACTGCTGATGAAAGATCAATGTATTGTCTGAGCAACTAGGCAGAAGATCACTTCCATAATGTCAAACCTCATACAAGTTCAAAGGTTTTTGTGAGCACCTGAAATTAAAATGCTTCTTGGAAACATCTTCAAAAGTAAAGCAAGATGGACACACACACTTTGCAAAGTAATTATTTTAAGACAATTTCAGCCTCAATATTTTTTGGGGAAATGAAGTTCTGCCCTGGCTTTATCAGAGGCTAATAGTTCATCTGTTTTCCTGTGGCCTCTGTGTCTCTTCCCCTCCAGAGTCAATACATCTCACTGTGGCAGGGTAATGGATGGACCACTTCCTTCTCTTTCTTTCACTCCCTCTCCATGCTGTATTCTAGCTCAGAGCAGGGAGCTAATCTCCAGGGTCCTTGACTTGGGTGTTTTACAGTTGGTCGTCTAAACCTTAAGCCCCCAGCCCATAAAACATAATGGAGTGCTTTGGTGTAAATACCAGGACTTTGCACTTCCCCTTTAAAGCCATAGCATGCTTATAAAAGCACCTGTTGTCGAGGTTTCACCTGTGCTCTCATGGGGGCCGATAGAAGTCTCCCCGCTTAACTAGGGGACGGAGGGGAAAATGGATCAAGGAGGGCCTTTTCCTGGGCCACTAGGCAGGCAGGGGAGTTGCGTCTGTCTGTGATGGATTACCAGATACTGTTGGTAGTCTTTTGAAAATATGACACACCAGGGAATTTAGTTGCTGATGGCTTGGCAAGGTCACTGTTGTTCAGAAGTCAAGGAAGGCACTGATGAAGTGGTTCACAAATTTTTGCCAGGACTGAGGGTGTTCACCCCAGTACTCCATTAAGAGCTCCTACTTCAGATAAGAACTGGGAGAGTTGGGGAGCATTTAGACTGTCCCATCATCCATTCCATATGTCTCCAAATGCTGCTTTTTCATTCTCAGAAATGAGCAGTCAAGGCAGGATCTGTAGAATCTGAGTGTTGACATCGTTCCTGTGCATGTGCCTTCCTTAGAAGGGAAAAAATAATCAGAGCAGTAAGTTGGAAGGTTAAAAAAGCGAGTGCAAGTATAGTAATAAAGGCAGGGATGAAAGATGGGTTTAGGGGCTGTGGTGTTGACCGAACTGATGACAGGGGAGCTGAGGGCCCCCTCCAATTTTAAAACTGTTCTTGGCTGTGAGACTATCGTTGCCATGCCAGCTCGCCCCAGCTTTCACATTATGCTGCCCCAGACATATGTATACAAGGCAAATTTATGGGCTTATATGAATTATATATGGGAGTAAATGGATGATGTCATAATCCCCCCATTTAATATGTATCAGATATAAAGGCGTTAACATGGCAGTTTGAGCTGCCTTGCCCACCCCTGGATCTCCCCACAACAGATGCCCTGCAGCCAAGCTTGAATTTAGCGAAGCTTGATTTTCTGCACTCACCTTACCTTTCTCTCTCTCTCTCTCTCTCTCTTTCCCTCCCTCAATTTTTCTCTTTCTCATACTCCTTCTTTGTAAGTGTTTTAATTTTTTTTCCCAGGACATGTCTGAAAAGTGGTGTGGTTAAATGCATGGAAAATCCTGTCCTTCCCAAGTGGCTCATCTCGGCTGAAGAAATGTATGATGAGAGGCAAGAGAGGGGAGCAGGGCCTATGGGATGGAGAAATAGCTAAGGGGTGTGTGTGTGCGTGTGAGAGAGAGAGAGAGAGAGAAACACACATGGCGGGGTAAAGGGTTATTGGCAAGGAGGTTTGAGTAAGATGTGGATAGACAGATAGAAAATGTTTGAACGGCCCAAATTGTTCTGACTACAAACACCCTCACAATGATGTTGTTGGGTAACCTTCCTACAGTGGCAGCTAACCAAAGCCTCTACCAAATCTTTACCAACATAATCATCAGACAGTGTAAAATCTAATACATGCACACACGTGTATGCACATGCAGACATAGAAAGGCCCTTTGATTTTTAACTGATAATGCTAAAACTGTCTGCTTTGGCTCTGAAAGTTCCCCTGTGCATCAATCCAGCATATGATGCACATTAAGTTTTTGTAACAGGACCATGGGCGTTAGAATAATTGAACTCAGATTAGTTAGGCTTTGACCCTACAGTAAAACTGCCACTCTTATTCATTGCTGACTCAATCATTTCAGCATTGAACCCCTCTGACCCTTTTTCCCCTCATGCATGTCCAAAAACTCTGCACAAATATTTTTTAAGGAAATAATGAAATTCCTGAAATTATTAGGAAGAGGGACCTTATATCATCTGTTCTCTCTCTCTCCTTAAACCTGGCCCCAGCGAGTGTACCCAGTTACTCTCGCGTAGGCTTGAAGAAAGCATTTTCTACCCTGAACAATTTATTCAGAATGTCTGTTTTGACAGAATGCTGCATCTTCACTGAGCAGCTCCTGATCCAACTTGTGAATTAAGACAGAGAGACTTGTTCAGCAAGGGTTGTAGTGATGTTATGAAACATTTTGTGTAGCTGCATATAAAATGTGCATTGGAGGTAACCTTAGCAGGCTTGTCGCGGTGGAAGAAATATCTCACTGGTGTAAATTCCTCCAGAACACTGCCAAACACCAGTGTTACTGACTTTTAAATTGCTTCCTTTAGGCTACACTGAACATACGCTATGAGACAGCTTGGTTTTACACTCAAATTTGAATATTTCATACAAACACTGGCTTATTCAACATCAGCAACAAACAAAAGGAGAAATAGCACATTTGCACAGCTGGCTTGATTTTAATCAACATTTGAGTCTCAACGCAAAATAAAGTGGTTGAATTATCTAAAAGAAAAAAGTATCTAATAAAAATAACAGAAGCAGCAACTGAAATGTCTCGTATTTACTGAACATATAAAGAGAAAATAGTTTAACACTGAACTCAAAGTGGTGCCGCTCAAGCAGTTGTACTTCTTGTGGCTACCAAATACTCCACTATAATTTAGCTGAAATCAAAAAATGAGAATTTTCTAATTGGAGTTGCTATTTTTTGAGAATATTGCTTTTGTTACCACAGGGCCATTAATCATAAATTGCAGTGCATCCCAGTGAATGGAGTTTTTCACAAAATAGATAAATGGCAATGCCTGCTGTCAACAAATTCTGCCTCTGTATGTCAAATCAGATCATATCAAATCAAATCAAGTGTCTTTGTCTAGTGGAACTGTACACAACCTTATAACTTTACAACAATTCAATAGTGTTGTTATACTTTATTTCAAGTCAGTTGTTGAGTAGGAGAGTTAATATAAATAGCACACTCCAGGATTATGCACTTCACAAAGGTATGAGTCTTTGAAATGTTTGCTTTCATCCTTCTATTTACCTGAGTTCACTTAAGTGGGACAAACTTGATAAAACATAACAAAGCATGACGTTTACTCTCAAAACTGAATTGCATGTATGATTTTAAGGTTGGTAGTAACAATTGAATGGAACCAGGATCTTTTGTGTTCATAATATATGGAATTGGTACAAATTTAAACATTGCACTATTGACATGGCATCTTTTCAAAATTATTTTCCAAATGTACCATAAGGTATAAAAACAGATGAGGGGTTCATGTAAACAAATATGTGCAGTATAGCTGCAAGTTAACCTTGTTACCTAGCTGTAGCAACTCAGATATGACCAATCATTCTCTAGTATTTGGCAACACATTGTCACTGATGGAACCCAAAGTGCCGTTCCTATTCTTGATCTCATTTTTACAATGCCACAATTTATCAACTTGTTTACCCACCCACATTATTCACATTGTCATCCATCCATCAGCATTTCACCATTTATGTACAGGTCTGAGCAGCCCACTTCACTTTCACCTAAACCTTTTCATCAAGATCCATTTTTATGCCAGCACATCCAAAACAAGTCTCTACACATTATTCCAATATTTAGCCACTGCCTTAGGGATGTGTAGATGGTAAGACACAGGGTACCCTTCACAAAAAAGTGCTACCAGCAAGAAGTTTATTTGTTCCAGTAAGAGGATCACAGTTTGCTCTTTTACAAGTTAGTACACATTTAACTAAAGAAGAGGAACAGGTAAATCACTTAGTGTACTCTTTTGCTGGCAGGAAATTCTCCCTACGGGTTCAGGTGCAGTAAATGCATGTTGTTTTGGCCTCAGTGTTGGTAGGTAGGTAGATTTTTTTTTTTTTTACAATACAATAGAGTGAAATTGAGTTTGTAAGTTCTATTACTTAATCTTAAAATCAAAGCACTTACAAAATAAGATTGCAAAACATAAGGCAGACAAATGGGTCACACAAACTAGGTCGAATCATCTGAAGAGGGCCTAATTTGTGATAGTAGGGCCAATGTCATGTTTTGTTTCTGATAGACTCCCGTTTTTGTATCTATCGCGTATCTACTTCCAAAGCCAGGGGAAAAGAATAAACTATCAGTTCAGCATATGCAACAGATTATTGCCTCTTCCAAGAGATGACTGAGCTTGCTGCTGTTTGCCAGGACCACCAGCCAAGCTCCTAGAGAAAAACTTGTTTGATGTGTTCATAAAATGAATGACAGTTTCACTGCTGGAAAGATATCTCGTTGTGTTGAATGATTGCAGTCATTAGTGCTGCCGAGACAAAACATTATGTCACGGATAAGGAGACATCAAAATATCTGAACAATTAATGGAAGTCTCTGGCTGACTTGAATGAGTGAGCTGATCTGAGATGCTATCAGAAAACCCCCCCACACACATTCTGTGCTATAGATGCAACTTAAATAAAGACTGAACCAGTGTAGCAGACACACACACAGTATTGTTTCATGGCAATGCTAGCACCTTCTCATATACAGTATAATTCTGTAAGACCATGAAAAAACATTAAGCAATGTCACAATATTAAGATGTCAAAAAATGCCCAATTTATTATTGGTCTCACTGGTAAATCAATGTATTCCCACCAGCACCTGTTTGGTATTTATGTGGCTTGCCATGACATCTCTTCTGTATGTCAAAATGAAGAAGGAGCACACTCAAGGGGATCATCAAAAACAGATAAAATCATGAAAAAAAGTTTTATTGTACTGGGTATTGCATGATTGACTGTCTTCCAACATGAAACATCCGACATCACCATGCACACAAAAACATTGCGGCTTGGTATTTTGTGTCTCCACAAGCGAGAATTCAACTCGAAAAGCATTATACACCCATAGCTGCATATTTGGGGGATTGTATTGTTTATTTGCCTCTTGCACTTCCTATACAACAAGATCAACAACAACATGGTCTGTAATCTCCCGTCTATTACACAAGTGTAAGTGAGCGGGGAATGGAGTGAGACGAAATGATTTGATTGGTCAAAACTGATACCATCACTATTCACAGTTCTTTAACCTTATCTGAAATCATTCATAGCTGCACTGCAGGTGCACAATCACTGCGCCAGGGCTTCTAGACCCAAAATGACCAAAAATCTGTTGTCATGTCCAAGTGAGCAACCATTGTTGTGAGTCAAATGAAACTAAAACATAGAATGTTGTTGGGTTATCAAACTACAAGATGTTTTTCTGCCAGTACAAAGTGTATTGGCAAAAGAAATATTTAATCAAGAAATATTTCAATTCAACAGGGACCTAATTCTGAGCTCTGTTTTCCTGAAAGATAACACTAAATAAACTCTTTTTGGCTAGGAACACTGTTGTTATTTGTAAAATGTTGGCTTGGTGAAATCTGCATTCACTAGGAAGAGACCTTCCTCACTGTAGAGTTATTAACTTAAAGTGAAATACTCTGTTTTTCTTGTTTTTTATTTTATTTTCCAGAGCCTATTTGGATGTGAAAGAGCTGAAAGAGATTCTGCATTTAGATGGCTCGACTCACCTGAATGTCTTCTTTGCCAACTCTTCTGATGAAGATCTGGCTGGGGTTGCCACTTGGCCCTGGGACAAAGAGGCCCTCACACATTTGGGTATAAGACAAATAAAAACACATACATACATACATACATACATGCGTGCACAGTCACATGCACACACTTAAGTGTGTGGCACACATAGTGTCTTTGGAAGCCCAGATTGTTGATTTTGAGTAATTACAGTTCAAGCCTCAAGCAGTTTCTGTCTTCATCACAGCTCTAACAGGGAAGAAGGTGATAATGAAGTTGAGGAGGCCCATTAATAATGCATTGTCTGAATCTGACTGAATTCCACGACTACATTACGCTACATTAGGAACAAGCTTTTGTGTTTTGAGGGTTTGCAATGTTTACATCGAGTGTATGTGTGTCTTCTTCCTCTGTATTTTGTCAGGCGGAATCGTGCTGAACCCTTCCTTCTACGGTACATTTGGTCACACTGACACAATGGTGCATGAGATCGGTCACAGTCTTGGGCTTTACCACGTGTTTCGAGGTATATCAGAGATCGAGTCATGTAATGATGCATGTTTGGAGACTGAGCCCTCAATGGAGACTGGAGATCTGTGTGCGGACACCAACCCCACTCCCAAATACAAAGGCTGCCACGATCCTGAACCTGGCAACGAAACTTGTGGCTGTCGGCATTTCACACATACGCCGTTCAACAATTACATGAGTTATGCAGGTGAGATGGAGCCTCCACATGTGTTTTGCTACTTACCTGGGCAAAAGAGTTATATACAGTCATACCTCTAGCATGCAAAAACTGAAACACAGGGATCACTGTAGAGGAATCTGTTGAGCCTGTGTGCATACTGAGACAGGTGTGGAATTTAGCAGGGACATTTCATGGAAAAAACACAGCAGGGAGGACATCCTTTCATGTCACTTTCGTGCAAAAATTAAAACGTTTTTGTTTCCATACTTGAATGTAAAAAAACTATATACTGCTAAATACCAACAGGTGGCTTGTTTTGTTCATGGGACCTAGACCTGTGGGATGATTTCATACCTTCTTCCTTTTCCTGTCACTAATCAATCCAAAATCTAATCCCCACTCCTAATGCCGACCAACTACCTCTGTTATCTGCAGACGATGCCTGCACAGACTCGTTCACACTGAACCAGGTGGCTAGGATGCACTGCTACCTGGACCTCATCTATCAGACCTGGCAACCCGTCTCCAAACCTCCTCCAGTGCCAATGGCACCTCAGGTGGTTGAGCAGCATCATAATTCCATCACCCTGGAATGGTTTCCGCCAATTTCTGGACACTTTTACAACAGGTGAAATGAGCTACATAGGTTGCCAAACAGGTGCGGGTGTAGATGGTAATGAAGCTGATAGAGATGAATTACATTATTGATTATTGTTTGAGTAACTATAATGATAGTGTATTAAAACACCTAAAAGTGAGCCAAATACTTGAAAGCAGCAGCTTAAATTATTGTTAAACTCTCATCATTTCTCATGTCATTTTACCTTATTGTCATAACTGTATCTTTATATACTGTTTAAATTATATGTATTTGGCCTGTATCTAAGTTGGTTGCTGTGCCTGTCTGTTGGTTTCCTAGAGAAGTGGGATCAGTGTGTGATAAATGCACTGAAGGGAGAGTTCTACTGCAGTATGCCTCCAATTCTTCCTCCCCACGACCATGTGCCCCTTCTGGATACTGGTCTCCAAGAGAGGCTGAAGGTACAGTATGATATTATATACTATACTCACTGGTTGTTAGGTTTCATGGCATTGAATGCTGTCATACAGTGTGATGGTAAGGTGGTTGATGGGTTACAAAAGTGTGACTCAAGAGTATTCCCACTGATGCATATCAAAATAAATGTTGAATCTCAGTCTTGAGTCAGTTTCTTGATTATAATGAGCTGTTTCTACTCAAAGCTAATTAGATACAAAAGCAAAGCCACATCACCTTTTATCCACAGTTTATAGTATGAAAACATGATTTGAGGTTTGCCTTTTGTTGATTTTCAAGTCAATACTCGAAAATATTGGTGACTGACTCAACCCCGAACTATGCAAATGACTCACTGGATTCATGACACTTGGGCCGTGGGACAACATGGAAGGATCAAAGAGGTCTCTTCCCAATGGATGGTGCTGTATGGTACCACAATTCCCATATGAGGGCTCAGACCCAAAACCAAGGTTAAAGATCACGTCTTAGCTGTAATTCCCCATTTTTTAAATTTTCAGTTTAGGGGATTTGAGTGCAATAAATGAGGAAATTAGTGGACTTTTATCAAAATAAAGGAGTTATCCCTCTTCTGTTTTTCTATTCTTGCCCTGCCAGTGAATCCATATTAGAACAACTATACAGGGAAAGGCATTAGAGATGAGGTATTTAAGCCAAAAAAACAGCTGTTGTCCCATCTGTGCACCTCTGATTACTCTGTGGTTCTGGCAGTGGCAGCATCAAGCATACTCAGGATATTATACATGGGACTATGTGCAACTATGTGTGCATGATGTTGTTTTCCCATATTATACAAAAAATCTAAGTAAGTTACATTAGACACCATGCCTTGCAAGACTGTGTCAAATCAAATCAAATATCTCAGGCTTAGCAGTGTGGAATTGGGACTACTACTACAACAGCAGATGTTTTCTTAAAATGGATCAAGCTAGTACCAAGCAGCAACCTCAGGTGCTGAAAAATGAAGCCATCACGGACGTGCCAAAAAAAGCAGTTCCTTGAATGGCCACTTGATGCTGGCCCCAAAAGAAAATCAATCCCCATCAACCCCATGTTGAAATGTTCAAGTTTACAGCAGAAATAAACATGCTTACAACCACAAAAAAATAGTTTTGGTCTCTAAATAGTTTTGGTCTCTAATGCTAATTTCCCCATTCATGACAACTGTACAGGGGATCCATTTTTATTATATTAAGGCGTGAAGTTGTGCATAATTAAGTGACTGAACACCTATATGTAAGCTGGGCACAATTATTAAGTTAGATATTTAGTTAGCTTATTACTAGCTAGCTTATTATTCAGCTGAAACTTCTGAAATAAACCAAACAGCTGAATCCACTGAGTAATGTGCATTCTCTTTGAGAAGACAAAATGTTATACTGTTAAAAGTTTGATAATTTTTTGTTTGGTAATTTGTTGGTAAAAAGAACTTTTCAGATGCCTGTTGTACACACTTAAATGGTCAGACAAATGTAGTCAATGGTCAAATATGTGACTGCATTTAGTTTATTTCATGCAACTGTTTACTCACTATCAGGAAATTATAACATATATTTTAATTAATGTTACTAACAAGGCTGTGCACAGTCTGCCTCCATAACTGAGATGCAGAACCTTTACATTACTGTAGTGTTGCTAGTCTGACCAAGGCCTATTCTCCATCCATTACTCCACCTTTAAATCTACAAGGCTGACAGGGCCTTACACTGTTGAACCATCTTCCTCTGTACATCAGATCAGCTAAATCTGTCAGCTTCTTCAGGCAGCAAAATAAGTTTTTCATAGGTGATCCCATATTTGTCTGGGAATGTCATATTGGCGTGGTGCACTTGTTGCTAATGTACATCTATCTGTATTTTCTGTGTGTACACTTGTGTGGAGTGTGTAAAGCACTGTTTAATGTGGTGTTTGATACTGCTTTGAGTTTAGGTGAAATTATAATTATAATTCCACTGATGACAGCAAAATTTTACCACTCCACAATGAAAGCTATGTAAATAAATAAATAATGCTACTCTTACAGTGCTACATTCTGAGCTTGTCAAATTTCCAAAAATACTGTGCCAATACCCAAGTACACACATGACATGTAATGTGGGTAATGGTGTTGTCTGCTAATTGCCACATTGTTGCTTCCTCCACGATACACTGTATTTGTAATGTAGCTTGCCATGCTAGATAACATCTCAGACAACTACTTCCATAGGGACCTCCATAAAAAGATGTGCTTTTAATAAAAACTGGGCTGATGAGAGTGGCAAATATCCAGATACATTTGCTTACACCAAACTGTTCATGAATTGCACCATGGGTTTGCTTTATCATGGTTTTACAGTAAAAGCAGCATAGTAAAAAATGGTGACCAAGTAGTGCCAATCCATCAAATGTACCTGTAGACTACTTTTTCATCAACTGGATGGAAGCAATTTGTGCTTCCATGTGCAAACAATCAATTACCAATCACCTGTAATAAAACTTACATGCAACCTAACAACATCACCTATAATAATAATAATAATAATAATAATAATAATCATAAAATCATGCCAATATTTACAATTTGTGTCTCCATATCCGATCATGCTGCTTTGTCTGAATGATTGTCTGCATGTTCATGTCTGCATGTGTGTGTGTGGACTATAGATTCTAAAGTCACTGAACCTTGCCTTCACACTGGCTATAGTGCGTGCACCAGAGGCATGTCTGGGCTTGTCTAACTTGCTGTGTGTGTAAACTGTACGCTATTTTCCCTCTTGGAAGGGGTCCCTGTTTGTGGCAGCTCCCCATTTACTGTTAACGCTGCTTGGGCCAGCTCCTCACTGGATACCACAGCTGCCATTTCCTGCTGTGATGGTGCATATGTGTCCCGCAGTTTCTAACTTCCAATAGACATTCTTGCAAACTACTGACTAAAATGTTGACATATTAATTATTGGCATTAACATCCTTAAATTGGAAGATCAAGTATATTAATGTCTGACTGTGTATGTTTGTCTACATTCGTCAGTATTCATGCATAAAAATGACACCTGTTATCTAAGGACTTGGGAGCTATGTCCTCACACTACTTGACTGGGAAACACTGGCGGGGTCAAAGAGCGCCAGAATACCTCTCGTAAATCTTTACTACTCTATGACCCTGAGAAATATGGCTGGAAGAAAAAAAAAAGGATGAAGAAAAAAGGCAAAAACACACATGGATATAGATTCAGGAAGGGGGTAAGAGAGATTGGGTGGGGTTGAAACCACCCAAGATAGTTAGGAGAATTGCATGTGGTTAGTGACATTCACGAGGGAGGATCCTGGGTTGATCGAAAACAGCAGTTTGCATGAATGGAAGGGAAAGGTCCAGGATATGTATGTTCGCCATCATATGTCTGTGGGAATGTGTGTGTGTGTGTGTGTGAGTGTGTGTGTGTGTGTGTGTGTGTGTAGCTCTATGTGAATGCACATTCCTGTGAATTTGTATGTGTACATGGAGGTGATTACGAAATAATGCATTTGCAGTATAGGCAATGTGCAAAATGTTTACGTGTGCGTCAAAATGTATTGTTTCACTCTATGAGACTTAACAGCAAGCATATGTGTGTCTGCATGTATAGGACCCCTATATGTTAGGCTTTGCTGTATTATGTAATCCCACTCATTGTCTGCCTAACATTATTCAAGAACAGAGGGCTCAATGTATGCCATGCTCCAGGTCCACAATGCAAACAAGGATACCTAACAAATATAAATAAAAAGCACACCTTAATTGTTCCATAATGTGTGACACTCCTGTGATGCAGGCCTTGATTAGGTCACGTTCTCCCAGATACCCCGAGCACTCAGGTCAACCAAATAATCTTTTCACTGCAGCAAAGATGCCAAACTCATCCACTAGTTTTAACATTCATAATGATTTTATTTGACTCTGGAATTCTGTGGTAGCAGTAGACTTATACTTACTTCCAGAGTCTAAATAATTTGTTAATTCCTTCTTATACCTTGCAAAATAGTTGTATTCCAATAAACAGTCTGTGAAATAGAACAAAGTAGTATTCCTTGACATCTTGACGGGATCTCTGTGTTTAACGCATTACTCCTTGTGATCTATTGGTATGTTGTGTAATTAGCTACACTGAAACACAAAACAGGTTATGAAAAAGAAAGAGTGTTGACCTTTTACCTGCCAAGATCAGCACTGGCCATGCTTGAGAAAACTGTTTAATGTATGATGTGGCTGAGTGAATATTTATTTTATTATAACATTTACATTGAACAGTAACTCTTTATTGTGCAGAGAGAAAAAACACAGCTCCCTTGCTCAGTTTTACCTTTCAAGGGGTATTACATTATACGCCATGTGAAACACTTAGATTAAAAATGTTAGTTTATTCTGGTAAACTTGTTATTAAAATCAAAATAATTTGTTTTATTTAATGTCTCTTTTTTACATCTGTTTTCTCCATGTTGGTTACTGCAGTACTACCATCCATTACCTTCCTAGTTAATGATTTTCTTTGGCTCCTTTTATCAGTTTTTCATCACACTGTGTGTTAGCTCCTCTTTTCATTTTTATTTTTCACTGTCAGTCAAAAAAATCTGTATTGATGTGCACCCAAAAGTAGCACCAGTGTCAACTGCTCCATGTGATTAAAAAACAAAACAAAAATAAAACAGCAGCTGCCAACAGCTATGACAGATTAACCTCTGAAATACCCAGAATGCAATATGATGTGACATTGCTTCCCTAGCCATAGAGTGTCTATTGCCTTCATAAAGAATGTCTGTGAAGTGTCTCTCTGTTTATGTGTGTCAGGGCAAAAGGGTTGGAGGGGGTTGATGTCTGCCTTCTGAGTGAGGAAGTGTGTAACAGTGTGTGACAGTGAGTCATCGATAGTGAGAACCAGAGCCAGACACTTCTTAGAAAGCATAAAGCGTGCATGCCCGGACATATCCCTGTCTGTTTATTCATCCGGCTCTCTGGACTTTATGTGGATCAGTATGATACTCCAGAGCAGAAGGATTATGACTGGATAGTGGGCAGGCACCAGCATCTATCCTGGAGTTATACTTCGCCAAATAGTAATTTTTTTGCTAATTACCTCAAGTTGTATCAAACATTGATCATCCTCATTCTAAAACAGCAATGTAGCAAATGCTTCACCTGAGCATGAAAAAGATTAAGCTTAATAGGCCAGCACAGCTGATTATGGAATTCCCAGTTCTCTGATGTCGCCCAATTATCAGATAACTTGATAAACAGATAATTGTTGATTGGGGACTGAATCAAAAATGTGGCAAAAAAAGAACCCTAGCAGAGTACATCACTGTCATTTCAGTTAGTAGTAGATAGTAATGTTAAAATAAGTGTCCATCCTAAAAAAGCCTTGGCTTGTTAAAAAGCCCATGCCCCTCTGTCCATATTAGCCATAACCCTATAGACGTTCTGACAACTAACAAGATGAAGGAATGCTATTATTGCCAACCAATATGTTTTCTTAAAAGAAAAAAATGTTTCAAGGATGAAAAATAAGGCTGTGTTCAGGCTGCTGTATGAAATAATGAATCCCCCTCTTTCATTTGAATTCGGCAACTCTGTTGACGCAGCAAGGGTGCCAGCAATAGAGCTCTCCAGCAAAACAATGCAGGGTCATCCAGCAAAACGTTGAGCCAGGCTGATACGTGCAAGTGTAGAGTCGTGGTAGATAACTTTGAAATTGAAAACTTCTACTGTTTTAAACAACGATTATTGCAATGGAAGATAAATGATTATCACCGTAATCACTTTACAGATTTGTAAAGATCTTGTCTCGTAGTAATATAAACCACTGTCCAGTGTTTTGTCGGCTGATAAGCCTTCAAACCTATGGATCTTTTACTCAAGCTAGACTTCCTGAATCATATTTCATATATTCATTGTATCCTTTCATTGGTATCTGAAACAACACAGCCCCTTCAATGATTTTAAACAAGGGGTTGTTTTTGGTCTCAACACCCACTATGCGACTCTCCCATTTGAACTCCCCCAATTCCTTAAAAGAGCAGGAGAAAGTCACTACCTTAAACAATACCATAGTAAGCAGGTTGCCAGTTCTACTCTTGGCGGTCTGTGTGTTTTTATTGATTGATTGAATTGATTTTTTGCCACAAGGGGGGAAAAAAACATCATATGAGCTGAAAGGGACACAGCTTCCACAATAATTCAAGCTCCCAGGAACAGTGCTGGGTTGTCTACTAATTTGGCCACAGTCAAAACTTCAGGTGTCTGGCCTAATAAGTCTTGCTATGAGCAACCATTACCATCTATTTGGGGGTCTAAATCAGAATATAAAACTTTTCAAATCAGAAAAATCTTGATTTGTAATTGAATCAGATTTTTCCATCTCTACTGTTTAATGTGTAGCAGTCAGAAGACATGGAGACCCACCAGCAGCCTGATTTTCCACAACGCCAATTACACGGCAGTGATGGTTAATGTATTTCACAAATGTATCCCAGAATGGGTGTTTTTGTCAACAGACTAATACCCAGATGGGATCAACTGATCAACAGAGAATGAATGGCTCACATTCAAAGCTTAGGGCTGGATGGTTCAGGCACCTAGGGGCCCCCTCTTCCTGCTCTAAGGGAATTATAGGTCAAACACCTCAGAGCTGGGCTGTTTATGTAGCAGTACGCTGCTGATATACATTTTCGGGGGACTTGTGTTCTGCTGTGAAGTTTGGAGGACTGCGATATTGATATGATATATTGTATTTATTTTTCCATTGTGTATTTATTTTCCTTGACCACCTGTCGCAGGTAGCTGCTCTGTCTACAATTGAGCAGATCATTAAAAATAAATCATTGTGGTTTTGATGTTGGATTTCAAACCCTTTGCTTGCACAGGTCGTACAACCATAGATACATCTTCTCATCTTAATATACAATACAGTTTACATTGCCTTAGGTTACATAATGGATGACACCCCTATTCTGTCTCCTCTTAAATCTCCAACAACATAGCAACATCGCCAGAGCAGGAGTAGGGCCCATCATAACAGCTGACATTACAAAATATTTTCAGTGGCTACAGCTTCTCTTGTTGCAAACTCAATGAAAATGTACCAGGACTACATGAGCCGAGCAAAGCCAAGCTCTTGGAGTATCTTAGTTCATTCTCTCCCAACCTCCCCTCTCTCTCTCCCTCCCTCCCTCCCTCTCTTTCTCTTTCTTTCTGTCTCTCTTTCTCTTTTTCTTTAATTCACCTCTACTCTGGCCACACACACACTTACAGTACAATAATAAATGTGTTGAGATAATGTGGCTTGGAAACCGTTTTCAGTCCTCACTTGATTAAACACTGGAATTTTGCACGGTGCCCAGAAATGAGGTTAGCAAATGGCTTCGTTGGTTGCCAGCTTGGAAATGCACAAAAGGAAATCGAGGGAGAACATAGTGTCTGCTGCTTGCTGGCTTCTAAAAGTGCTTGATGAATGTTAGTGTACGTCACTTGGGATAATGCGAGTTAGCTGTGTGTGGACTCCAAATATGGCTGGAGTGTGACTGTTAGAGGTTGTAATGACTGTGGTGAAGTGAGAACCCTGCACCAGGCCCCTCTCAGAAGGTATACACCTCAGCTCTGCCTTTCCTCTGCAGATGGACTTACAATGAACTCTCAGTTTCACCTCTACATTGATGTTGCAAGGAGTGTAGATATACTACAGAGATCACTGATGCAAATTCTTCATCTGTCAGCTCTCATAAAAATGCTATCAACTTTATAATTTAGTTTAAGATTTCTATCTTACCTTTTTGGAAAAATTTTCTGCATCCTTTGAGGAATTCAAGGACCTGTAGAAAAACTATCTGTATTACATTATGTATATATCTGCATTATGTCTTTGTGTATCATCAGTCATTATATTAGTTTAGGAAATGGCCAGGCGGCTTTTACTTATTGTGTCTGATTTATATTTAATGCAGTTTTGTGTATCTGTGAATTATTTGCTGTCTCTTTGTTCTCTTTGTTTGACAATGTGTCTCTTTTTGTAATTTTATCCCACAGGCCCTCCAGATGTGGAGCAGGCTTGTGAGCCAAGTGTGCGCACCTGGAGTCCCATTGCGGGGATCGAACAAGGTGTTGTCGGCATTTCAGGGTGCCCCCTCCAGGGCTGCATGCTTCAGCTAGAGTTCGCCTACCCACTGGTACCAGACTCCCTGACTGTGTGGGTCACCTTCTTCAGCCCTGAGGAAACGGCACTGCCAGCTATCCATAATATCTTGCTACTGACTGTCAGTGGGAACAACATTTCATTGGGTCCCAGTAATGTCTTCTGTGACACCCCACTGACTCTGAAGCTGGACATAGAAGAAGAGGTGTATGGGGTACAGTTTTTCACTATGGACAACCACCTAGAGATTGATGCCACCCTCTTGGCATCCAAGCCAGACTGCATACTTTGTAGGCATTGCCAACCACTACGCTACCGCCTGTTGCGCCAACCACCCTTCACCCATGCACCACAAGGTCTGATGTTGAATGAACCTACCCGACGATTTACAGACAGGTGAGTGACATGGTAGGTGAATGTTTTGTGAGTGCACAAAGACCTAAATCAGTCATCACTGGCGTGCATAAAAAGCCAATATGTTCTCTGAGTTTAGAACTCTAAGTAACATATATAAAACACGTTTTGTCTTTGTTAATGCTTGAGAGAGACAAACCTTTCTTCCTGACAGAGGGAGAAAGAATACAATATATTAGACATGCTTTGGCATTTGAAACAATTGTTTTTACCCAAATTATTCCCTTTTATAAGTTTTTAAGTGATTACCATTTAGCTTCCTGCTTCATTGTGATGTAATTAGTGGTTGTTGGACAAGCCAGTAAAAAGGTGTTTATCTCTGTGGAAACTATCCATAAAAATATTTTCTTTAATACCAGATATCCTTTTCAATACCCTCAGGAGTACTAGCAAGCCACTGCTGCTTCTGCAATTTCAAATCTGATGCCCAACATTTGTTTCCTAAGTCACAGGTCAATCGTTGCCCACATTTGTTTTTTCCCATGTTCCATGAAGCAAGGGCAAACAGATGGCTTGTTAAAGGTATTATCTGTAGACTGTGGTGAGAGTTTAGTGCTTTGCTTACATGGAATGTGCTGACTCAGTGAAGATTGTGCTATACATGGCACTGCTTTGTGTTATGCCATCTCACTATTGTGCTGTCAGCGTGGTTCACATGAGAAGGAAAATGCTTGATAAGAGGTGAAAGGGTGAGTATGCATGTTATGCAAGATGGAGTGATGATATCTAAGTTCCATAAAGTGTCCGTACACCACTTCCTGGTTGAATGGCTGTGTCTGTGGAAGGCTGTCTGCAGCAGGGATGTATTTATTTGAGGGTTTTGGCACACTTGAGTGATTATTGATGTACTGTAGGTAGTTTTACTGCTGTGGTATATTTCACTAGCTGTGGTTGCATTCCAGCGGTAGTGGTCAGTGGCACTGGCTGACTATTTTCTGTTGTGAGAGCATATGGGATCTTGTCTCTGTTAGATGATCAGAGAAGTTTTGGAGCAAGTAGGTATGTGTGCTCCAGCCATTAAAATATTTAACTCATTCAAGCAAATAGCAACAAAAAAATATAAATTTATGTATATCCTTATGCCTTTATTTATAAAACAGTTTGGGGAAAAACATAAAAACAAGAATTCTAAAAAATTTTATGAAAACATTGAGAGAAAACATGCGAGAGGGATAGTTTGCACATTTCTTACAATGTTTTGAGTTAATATCAGTTATTGATTAATGCAGGGACTTTAACTTCTATATCTACCATATGACACTGAAACAGTATGTGAGTGGATTACTATGCACAGGTTCCAATGTGTCGTACTACTGTGGCATTCTTCATCAAACAAATAAAAGATTTGTCCAACAGGACAACCAAGAGTGATACATTTGTCAGAGAAGATTGAATTAATGGCCAATATAATGCCACATCACACTCACTGTCTAACAACAAACATAGCCTTTGACATGGTGGAGTAAAGAGCAAAGTTCACTTAGATGTTTTGCCATCCCACAAATCCAATGTAAAGTGCTCTGTTTCATCACCATGGTCCAGATGCTGAAATACTTTTGTTGACCACACGGTAAGCTGCTTCTTCTTGCAACATGTTTCCACGGGGGTTGGATAGAGTGATGGAGGTCTTGACTAGGGGGATGATTGACCTCCCGCTGCCAGACCACTGCCCTTCACCTGATCCGGGGCAAACTGCACAAGAAGACAACTGACATCTTGGCTCCTTTGGCTCAATCCATGGGTGGTGGTTTGTTTGGAAGGGCTGGGAGGTCATTGTGACAGGGTAAATTATGGTTGGGAGTAAGAAGGGTGAAGTCAAGAGGAGACGCAGGGGTGGAAGGTTAGACCAGTTGGGGGTAAATCATTGCTAGGCTAAAGGGGAAACATTAGGGGGTTGAGAAAGTAGGGTAGGATTGGGTTAGTTTGACCCTGTCCCTCTGTGGCACCCCAGCCCACAGGCTAATCCTCTTCCTGATGTGGGTTTCAGACCTGTCATTCATTCACAGCCTATGTCAGAGCTGATGTTAATAGACCTCCCAGACACAAGAGAGAGGGGGCAGCTCCCCCAGCATCACTACTAACCCACACCCCCTCTGTAATCAGACTCTACCGCGGTTCTACACATTATATACCCCATCCATCCCTAAGCTACTCTGCTAACAGGTCTGCTGCTGTTTGAGAATTCAATCAACCTTATGTCTCCTCTTAAAAGGAAGATGCAAGAAGATTTTTATGCTATGCACTTTCTGGCTAATTGTCAAATAGCTATGTGGTTGGCAGTTATTATTGTGAGTATCCTCTGTGTGTACCAGAAAAGGCACCAGTATACTCTATGTTCTATAATTTCTTGAACTTTTGACAGTTACGTCCACTTCACACTATGATTGGCCAAGTGTGTGACAGGGAGAAAGTAAGCAAGGTTTGGACTTCTCTGAAAAGCTCTCTTTTTCATTCTTTACTAGTACTACTACTACTTCTGTAATTTTTATGTGTGTACAAATAAGTGTAATAATATGCCTTCCATGAGAGACTACATCTGAAAATGCATTGCCATTCATAACACGTATAAACACTTCCTGCCTACAGACATGGTTGGACAACATGTCATACAGGTAGTTCATTTTGAGCATACCATGGCCAGACTTGATATTTGTTTGGGAAATACAGTCACAGTCACATTTTAAAAAAAAAGGTGTATTCCCTGAGACAGTTTTGGTTCATTGGCAATGTCAATAGTGACCTAAATATATTTCAGATTTAAGCTGTATTAATTTGGAATTTAATGTCAATGAATTTAGTGTCATTGTAATATTTTAATAAATTATGAAGGTTTTAGCAAAACTTTTTAATTCACCATAGATTTTAATTCTTTCTCATCACTCATTGACTTTACTTGCCTAACAATTTCTTCTTTACTTATAAGACCAACCCCCCTCCCCCCTCCCCCAACCCAACCCCCTTCTCTATAGGCTGTTGGACATGAGAAATGAGCCTTGCGTAATCCTCCTAATATGAACCATATTCATGAGTTGCAGACAGAGTGAACAGTGTAGTCCTCGTGGGGAATAGGAATTCTTTCTGTTGATATCAGAAATGGGTTGAATTGCTTCAGGATAGACAATGGTGATTGTCTGTTTCTTTTTATGTAAAGATAAACATTATAATCAGTAACTGTATGTTGGGGGCATTCACAGGATATGAACTACACTAGTAAGGGTTTGGGGGTGAGCTGAGTAAGCTGTGATTCAATGTAACATAAAATATATATCTTTCTATCTTTAGATCAGGTTAATTGATGATGTATCAACGTTATGTTTATGCAAAAACTGTTGACTATAGCAACATACACACCTCCTATAAACACTCCTATAAATGCATGCATTTGTCATTAAAATGATCTCCTGTCTCTTTTAAAGCAGGTCTACCTCTTTTAGGTCTAAACATGTAGCAGTTAGACATACCGTAGGTGTAAATTAATAGCAGTAAAACCTGTATGTCAGCTGCCACATACAAAATGAGTATTGCCCTGTTCTTGCATGCTCAATCTAAGATATTTTCACAACTGCCTTAAATGTATCTGCCTTTCTCATCTGGAATCTCTCAGCCAAGAACAACAAGCAGCTACAGAACGGAAACACATCCATATGCATGCTCATACATAAGCCTAGCGCACACATAAGTGAAGGCAGGAACACACACAGATGAACAGACACACACCAACACTCTACTTGCTCGCAGTAGCAGGCACATAGATTAGCACATACTTCTGTGTGTAATCACCTGGTGCTATCAAACCACCTTTGAAAGGCATAGGACTTTGAGCGGGAGCCAAGATAAAACCTGTATTCCTACAGGGGTTTTGAGAAAAATGTCTGGATGTACAAAGAAGCACCTATGATGCATCTTGTCTGCGGCTGGAGTAAAGTTCTTTGTAGTATGCATTGCATATCCGATCAGTTATATATCATATCTAATCAGTTACAGATGAAGGTGTGGTTTTATGAAGTTTGGAATGCCGCCAGAAGTCATGTCTGTGACTGGATATTATCCATCACATACACACACATCAAATGATTGTACCACGTCAAGAGCAACTTAGAGATTATGCTGGCTAAAAAACTCTTTCACAGATTTACTGTTTATTAATGTCCCTGCAATTCTAAATGTTGTTCTCATACATCCCACTCACCAAGATCTAACGGATGGAGAATTCACTGAACTGTGTTACATCTGCACCACACCTAACACAGCATGGCTATTAGGAGTAAGGTCAGGAGGAATCAACCATGCACTTAATTGGGAACAGGGTAAAAGCCATGTTTAAACAGTTGTTATCGCCCTATGAGTAGTAGCACTATTGACCCTATAGAACCAAAGGTGCATTTTGACACCCAAGTAACATATGTTGCTTGGCAGCATACTTTAACTCTCAGTCCAGCACAGGATGTAGAAACCTTACTGTAGAGTAGATTATGCATATGTCCTTGGATCTGTATACATCTGAAACAACCTCCACAATCTGTTTGGAAATACTTTGTTTTACCATGGTATGGCCTTTTTAAACTCTGTAACAAACAAAAAGACCATCAAACTGACGGTAGACAACTGTTTCCCCAGTGAAGCACAAAGGTCTATGGGCAAAGTAGTTCTGATCTTTTTGTTAAGAAGACCTCTGATCTTCCACAGCTGCCTTCTTGTAGTCATTTGATAGCCTTGATGGGGGCAGTGGCTAGCTTTGTGTTTGCTCTGTGACTGAGGGTATAGTCACAGGCTTGCTATGCTGCAAAACCAAACATTTTATCTAGGTCCATAGAGAAAGGGCCACAGTGCCTCATGTGTGACAGGGCAGAGGAGTCCAGAATCAAGGCCTGCAGGCGCTTAGGATGAGGAAGCTGCCTATGTGGCCCAAGCTTGTAGCGTGACACAGTGGCATCTGAGTTCTTAGTATAGTCTATAGAAACAAGTGAGGATGGTATAGTTCC